CCAGATCCCCAGCAGGTGTAAATTCCCCTTCAGTCCTCGGACTCTGCTGAGCCCACTGGGATGCTATTCAGCGGAAGGAAAAGCAGAATGGTCTGAAGAGGCTGAATGAAAGCCCAGGCTTGGGAGTCAGGAGCTCGCTTGCTGTTAGGCCTTGGGCAAAATACCTGAGATGATCCAATGCTTCCTGGAGTCACTGGAAAGGCTCCCACTGACTGTAGTGAGCTTTGGAACAGGCCTTTAACCTCTCCAGGCTTGTCTTCACAGCACAATCAAAGTTCCCCTGAGCCAATGGCTCATTGGGCTGATGCAGTTAAATCATGTTAATTTCACGCACAAAGGAGTGATCATGTCCAATTGCCTTTGGCTGCCTTAACCCAATGGGCCAGCTCCCCATTCTGCAGCTCAGTGAACTGGAGGTGGCGTTTCAGTGTGAGATCAAGCAAGACTCGAACCCACGTCCTTCAGGGTTGTAATCAAGAACCTTAACCACTCAGTCATGGCTCCTCTTAATTATTAATTAGTTAATTAATTGGTGAGTTTATGTTCTTGTGCCTGGCCTCCTGCCTGTGGATAATGACACTCGACCTAGCGTGTGGGAGGACTTTATCCATTTGCGTTCTTAAAGATCTTTGGGCGACAAAAGTCCTAGCAAGGGAAAGTCTTGTTATGAGTGGGAATAACAAGGAGGGAAAGAAAATGAAAGACACAGTACCCCCAGAATAAGCTAAGTGGAGCTGAAAAGAGAGATCAGTCATTCCCAGCAATGAGAATTCAGGAAATTCTTGTGTGTGAAATGAAGTCTGACTCGCAAATCATCAGGCCTGGCATGCGGAGGAAAATGAGGCCAGGAATAGTTGTGCGCTCTATTTCCAAATTCTGCCCAAAGGGAGACAGATAGGCGAAGTCAATGCGAGGTCTCAGTTCCTCATCAGCAGAATCAGAACAATTTCCCGAGTCACTGCTGTCTTTGTCCTCCTTTCCCTGCAAGGCAAAGCGGCAAAGCTCTGGGAGAGCCCTGACTTTGTTTTAATCCTCAAAGGCGTATTCGTGCTCACGCTACCTTGCCGAGTGTGCACGCAACCCCCTGTTGAATGCAGTGTGTTTCCGTGGCTGCAGGAGCAGATTCTGTTCCACGCTGCAGAGTCAATTCAGAGAGGTCAGGAATCTCAAAGATTCAGAGATGATCATTTCCACCTGGGTGGCTCAGGCTGCATTTGTGCAGGAACGATTCTTGTTCTATACAGGGCTGTTGACTGCATGCGGTTCATGCCTTTCTGCCAGGAAACTCACTACGTGATGCCAGGAAGGTGTGTAATACATTGTTGTTAGTATTTGTGTTCTGTATCCCCATTGTGCTTGGTGCTGCACAAACCCATAGTGAGAGACACTTCCTGCCCAGAAGAACTGACAGACTAGATGGAGAAAGGAAGGTTCTTATCCCTGTATTCCATCCTTTCTTCTCGATTAACAGTGTTTCATAGAATGGTTTTCAGTGTCCTGAGTGCTGGTTTCCCAGAGCCTTTATCATTAGTATGGTGGGGGAAGGAAGTGCTTTCAGCTAAGAGATGATGCAGTGGAGAGTTACAGGAAAGCTGGAAGCAGATGCAAAGGAGAAGGCTCTCACTCTGAGATTGTGGGAGAGAAAGTGAGGCATCCGAACAGAGAGAACAAGCAGGGAAATGGAGCTACACAATGTGGATACAATTTAGAAATAAGAAATATAACTTTGGCCCCAATCTTTAAACAAACAGGGTGCCGGAGCATTGGGATGGGAGAAAGGGGTCGAGGAACAGAATTAAAATGCTAGAAATCAGGGGGAAGTCCTTCACAGGAGATTGAGGGTCATAGCAATAGATGTCAAACAGGAAGGCATGGATTGGATTTCCAGTCAATGCAAAGATGGGTTATTTCCCATAAACCCCAGAGCTCACCCACTACTTCATCTCCCTGGTCTCTGCCAGGTACTTTTGCATCCTTTAAAGTCTAACCCCAGTTTGTCAGAAGCATTGTCTGCATCAGAACAGCATCTGCTGTGCTGCTTGCTAGGATGAAATGATCTGAGGAATGGATCTCCATTCTCATGCTCCAGGGCATACACTGGTGACCCAACAGGGGTCAGGAGCACAACTGGGTGAAATTATTCATTGGCAACTTTTTATGGCATACAACGAAAATTCAGTAACTCCAAAACCTTTCATGAGTTCATGTTATTTTCACCAAATTGTTTTCAGTCAGGAAAAAAATATACTTTAAAAATTCAGAGAAAATTGAAATGTGTCAATTTTTTGGTTCAAAATGACTTTTTCTTCCAACTTTCCTTTAATTTTATGTTTTAAAAAAAACATCAAAACCATTTTAAATGATCCAGACATTTCATTCTACCCCAAACTGGCAATGTGTAAATCAAGATTGGATGTTTAAAAAAAAAAAATAATAAAAGCTCTAGGAATGATTTTGGGGCAGTTCTCTGGCCTGTGTTACACAGGAGGTCAGACTAGATAATCATAGTGGTCTCCTCTGGCCTTGGAATCTATGAAAAATAGTTCTATGTGAAACATTTTGATTTGCAGATTTTTTTTATTTTTGGTTCAAACTGAATCAAATCCCTTCCCGCCCCCACCCCCACTCCCCCACTCCAGGGACCAATTATTCAGAATTTCCAGCAAATAAAAAAATCCATTATTTGCCCAGATCTGGTTAGGAAGGCCCCTCCCTCCATGCCATAATTATTATTTTGATTATTATTTGTGTTACCCTAGCACACAGGGGCCCTTATCATAGACCAGGTGCCCATTGTGGTAGGTACAGTACGAACAGGAGCCGGTGAACACTGTTAGAGGCAGGGCAGCAAAAACAGATACAAGGAGACGCTCTGCAGATCAGGAAATAGTCTGAAAAGGAAAGACTCTACCAGCTTGTCTGTCACTGCGTCATCGTAAAATGGGCTGTTATGATGATGAGATGTTGACAGTTGCTGTTATTCCTCACGTCGCTCTCTTGCTGTGCAAGGCCCTTTGCAGACATGGCATGATCCCGTCTCCAGAAAGCTTACAACTGAAATGGAAAAAATTCAAATGGTTGGAGTGGATGGGGAAATGAAGGGATGGGATACCAAAGCAGAGGGTTGGGTCCTGATGCCCCTACTCCCACTGGGTCACTCTTGGTTCTACATGTTGTCAGTGGGCCATCCAAGGTATGGCTCAGTGGGAATAAAGGGTACCACAGCCTGGTCCAAGTGGTGGGGGTTGGCAGGAGGCTTGTTAGAGTTGATATAGGGAGGAATCCCATTGTCCATTCACATGAACAGGCTTCTTTATGGTGAGATCCCACCGGGAGCCTAGTCGAAGGGTGATGAGAGGAGTGAGGTGAGTGGGGGATGGGGCCAAAGGGAGAGGACTGGGAAGGGGGATTTGAAGGAGAGCCCGGCTGCCGGTTGCATTGGAGAGGAGGAGGCCGTCCCAGCTGGAGGGAGCTAAAGGGGGAAAAGGATGCCAGGCCAAGTCCTCAGCTGGTATGAATCATCATTGCTCTAGTGAAGTCAATGGCACTACGTTGATTTACACCAGCAGAACTCAGTGTGGTGCTGTCGAAATGCAAGGGCAGGGGTGTAGATGTGCAGGCTGTGTCAGCACAGGGCTCGCTGTAGCATTGATCAGGGAAGCCACATCGACAGACATTGCCTGGGTGAGTCTTTTCCGGGAACTGGTTGCCATGTCACTTCCCCTGTACCCCAGCCTGTGCCATTCAACTACCATGACTTTCCCAGCAGCTCAGAGCCCAGTTGGGCTTTGCTGTTTTTTTCACCAGCTCCCTATAACACATGCACAGAGGTGAGCCCTAACCAAGCAAACTCCTGTTACCAGGGCTGGCTTTATTAGGGTGACCAGACAGCAAGTGTGAAAAATCAGGACAGGGAGTGGGGGGTAATAGGAGCCTATATTAGAAAAAGACCCAAAAATCGGGCTGTCCCTATATGATCGGGACATCTGGTCACCCTAGGCTTCATTAGCTTCAGAGCGCTCTGCTCTGGTGGAGCTTGGGAACTTGGCTGTAGTTCTATGGAGTTTAGGAGCTCTTCAGGTGATCTGATCCCCTTGACCATCTGACGGCTTCAGATGTCCTCCAAGACCTTCAGCTAAGTGGGGCTCATCAGACTGATGGGTTCCCCCACAATATTATTGGATCTTGATGCATTTTGGTTGTGTGAGACCTTCCCACAGAACAAGAAAGAAATGACCAGCCACTGAAAACATACATTAACATAGCTAAGACCGTGCTAGACTGATGGAAGAATTCTTCCATCATAGAATAGAATCATAGAATATCAGGGTTGGAAGGGACCTCAGGAGGTCATCTAATCCAATCCCCTGCTCAAAGCAGGACCAATCCCCAATTTTTGCCCCAGATCCCTAAATGGCCCCCTCAAGGATTGAACTCACAATGCTGGGTTTAGCAGGCCAATACACAAACCACTGAGCTATCCCTCCTCCCATTGACTCAGCTACCACCTCTCCAGTAGGTGGATTAACTACAGCGACAGGAGAACCCCTCCCATCGGCATAGTGAGTGTTTACGCTAAAGCATTATGGTGGTGTATACCCTCCGACTGGCTCCACATTTGCAGCAATCTACTCTATCGCACTTGATTCTGTCTGTCCAGGCATTTATACCTCACTCATTGCTCTAGCATGGCTCATGGCCCAGAGATCCCTCAGCAATTTTCATGGCTAGGAATCTTACATTGGCCAGAGGTCCCCGAGATCTCTCAGCTAGACTGTCTGTTCTCCTAAGATCGCCAGCCTCACTGAGTAACCTGGATAACAAACCACTGAACCACCAGGTTCAGATCAGCTTCCAGAGTCTGTGGATGCTTCTCCAGAATGGAGCCATTCAGCACAGGCCTAGACATTTGCTCAGGGTGGTTTCCTCTTCTGGATCTACGTAGTCATCCCGGTGACAGAGATCTCATCCCGTTCTAACAGTTTCCATGTTTGTTCCAGTCCAGGCAAATACAACGTCCCCTGCCATCCCCTGGAACATCACACATGGTGGACATGGGAACACGTCTGCAGAGCCAGGTGAGGACACAGCGGGGAGGCTGGGGGAAGCCCCCTGGTGCTCAGTGTGACCCTCTCCATATGGAAAGGACAGGACTTGGGGCAGCAGACACCAAGGGGGGGGTCCTTACTCAAGGTGATGGACACAAAGACTGTGTAGCCTCCTGGATCTCTAGCACCGAGGCTGGGTCTGCCAAGGGAGGGATTGCTGACTCCATCATAGTGAGGAGATGGAGCAAAGGCTGTGATGGGTGAGCTGCTCCAGCAGCACTGGGAGATGGGGGTACCCAGAGGGGTGCCCAGGTTAGGACGTGCAGTAGCACAGTGATCCCCGATACTAAGGGAGAGTGGAGAGATGGGGGTGCTCAGGTTATGCATGACAGCTGCCCAGCACTCCTTGTGCCTTGGTGGGACTCCTCACTGCTGAGACCAGCTAGCCTGTAGCTATAGCTCAGAGCTGTTTTTTTGAGGTCACCATGGGGTGCTCACGCGCTCGTCTGTGACATTTGGGTTGAAGAGGAAGGAAGCAGCGTGGGCGGCAGCATGTGGTGCACCTATCCCACCTGTAAAGAATTCAGCATCGCTCGCAAAGGGCGCGGGCTTAGTCACGCGTCTGAGCCCAGCCAATGCCCTTTGCTCCCACTAGCCGGAGCTGGGGATTTCTGCACCAGCTTCCACAGCGCTGCCCCACCAGGCCCTTATGGGCTCCCCCCCCCCATGCTGCTCCATGCTCAGGCTTTATGCCCCCCCTGAGCCCTGCCCCATGCCTTTATGGGCAGCCACCCCTCTGCCCCACCCCTTATGGGCAGCCACCCCGCTACGCAGGATCCCATATGGCTCTGACCCATCTCATGGATTATCTCTGAAATAATGTGTGCTGCCCTGCAGGCCTCTCAGGAGAGGGATCCGTCCGTTTGGTGAATGGCAGCAGCCGCTGCAGTGGTGCCGTGGAGGTCCATCATCATGGGCGGTGGATGCCAGTCTGCCAGAAAATGTGGGACAAGGAGGCCTCCCACGTGGTCTGCAGACAGCTGCACTGTGGGGAGGCAAAGGAGACAGCTGCTAGACCCATCCCCAGCCCTGTGTGCCCGCCCAGGTCAACACCCACAAAGAAAGCCAACCTGTCCTCTCAGAGCCTCTGCCCTTCCCTGCACATCTACTGCGTGGGTCTGGAGAGCACATGGAAGCAGTGCAATGTGTCAGAGCTGTGCTGTAGTGAGAAGCTGGCCAGCGTCACCTGTACAGGTAAGAAACGGATCCATCCCATGTCTTGTAGAGCCCGGGTTAGCCATCAGCAGCTTCCAATGGGAAACCATCCATGCACGCTGGCTGCTCTCCTCTTGCTGCTGCTTCTCTATCCCCATCATCCATCCATACTTCATGGTGAGGCCAGTCCAGCTCTGCCCCTGCCCATTGGCCAAAGCCCAGCCCTCCCAGCTGCCTGTTTCTGGCCCATGAGGCAGTCTTGCCCCTCCACACCTTGCAGGTTAGAAAATTGAGAGGGCCACCAGGTCATTCCGCCTGTGAACTCCATCGCAGCATCCCAGGTGAGTGCCCCTGCATGCTACGCTCCTGATAAATAATTAAATGACTGATGGAGCTGAGACCAGATCCATCCACCCATCCACTGAAACCAGCTCCATGGATCCATCCATCCAACTATCCATGCATTGATACCAGCTCCATCCATCCATCCATCCCCATACATAACCCATCATCCATCCATTGAGACTAGATCCATCCATCTCCATACATAACCTACCATCCATTGAGAGCAGATCCATCCCCCATACATACCTCTTCATCCATCCTTTCTCTCCCTCCCTGTGCCTATCTCTCTCTCTGCCATTCCCAGAGCCCCTCTCTGAGCCGTGCTCACTCCCCCTTTGCCCTCTCTGCCAGGTTCCCATTCTGTGCGCCTGGTTGGCGGGGGCAGTTGCTGTGAGGGCCGCGTGGAGGTTGAGGCGGACGGTGTCTGGGGCACAGTGTGCGACGACGCCTGGGACCTGGATGACGCTGGGGTGGTATGTCAGCAGCTGAGGTGCGGCTGGGCCGTCCAGGCTCCAGTGGCCTCCTTCTTCCGTAAAGGGACAGGCCCCATCCACCTGGATGAGGTGAGCTGTGCTGGGAACGAATCCTACTTGTGGGACTGTCCAGCTGAGAGGAGCCATGACTGCGGCCATAAGGAAGATGCCGGTGTGGTGTGCTCAGGTCTGTTCCTCTATCCAGAAGAGTGCACTTGTCCTTCTGTCTGGTGGAACACCCCCCACCTGTCTGTCTGGTGGAACATTACTGTCCATCTCTGTCCAGTGGAGGATTCCTGGCTGTCTGATGGAGAGCATCTGTCTGTCCACTTGTCCATCTGAAGGAGTGCTCCTGTCTGTCTATCCATCCATTGGAGAGCTCCTGTCCGTCTGTCAGAGTACTCCTGTGTGTCTGTCCATCCAGTGGAGAGCTCCTCTCTGTCTGTCCACTAGAGCACTCCTGCATGTCCATCTGTCTGATGGATTGTTCCTGTCTCTGTCTGTCTTTCTGGGATGGGCAGTGAAATTAGACTCTGGCAGCTTGGGGAAGGGGTAAATCCCTCCTGCCTCCAGCTGGCTGCAGGTGCAGAGGGGTCTAAACTTCCATCGTGGGCAGCTCCTTAATGTCTGTGTTGCATCAGAGTGGGGACCCCTAGGCTGACCTGTTGCCCCCCTCATTTCCGCACAGAGCACCAGGAGTGGCGCCTGTTGGGGGGCAGGGACGCCTGCGCTGGCCGCGTAGAAGCTTATTACCGGGGCGTGTGGAACATGGTGTGCGACGGGACCTGGTACAAGGAGGAGATGGACGTGCTGTGCCAGTGGCTGGGTTGTGGCCCCGCTGTCCAGAAGCTGAGCTTCAACCACACGCAGGAGGGCAGGATGAACTACCTGTGCTCAGGGACTGAGGCCTCGCTGTCCTGGTGCCAATGGCACCACAACAACTTGAACCTGTGCCACCAGTCCCAGGCTGCCGGCCTGATCTGCAATGGTAACGCTGCCTCCTCACATACGCAACCCCCACCCAGACAGACCCGAGCAGGGATCGAACCTGCAACTCTCAGGAGAAAGAACACGCGTTGCTAAGGCTTGAGCTAGGGACAAGGCAGCAATATCGCATTGTAATCTTTGAGACCAAGAGGGAGACATGGCCATACATATGCCAGCGGCGCCAGGGACCGGGGGGAGAAGAAGGCAAACATGAGGGATGATAGAGGGGATGGATGGGGAGGTGGGATGGGGCAAAAGAGGCGGATGTGGGGGGTGATCCAGGGGACATGGGCAGGGTGGCAGGAGAGGGGAGGGAAGGATGCGGATGGGGGGGGGCAATCCAGGGGATGGGGGGGGCAGTGAGAGAGGGGAGGGTCTCCACCTCCGAATGGGTCTGTCCCTCCAGCCCCGCTGACTGTTCTTCTCCCTCTGTCTGTGGTGCCCCCAGGCTCGCTGGGCTTGCTGAACACATCTGCCGTGCCCCCCCTGGAGATGATGACTCCAGACACCGGGAGAAGTGAGTGTCTGGGGGGCAGACCCTCCCTGCCCTCCTGCAGTGCCTCTCTCCAGATCCCAGATGAGCCCTCCTCCACTGGAGCGGGAGGGGAAATTTGCCAGCCCTGCTGTAGGGCAAACCTCTCCGGGGTGACTGCACCGTGGGCAACTCTCCTCTGGCGGCACCCATTCCCCAGAGTGGGCAGCCAAAGAGGCCCCCCTCCCCTCAGAAGGATCCCCCGAGAGCCGGGGACTTGGCTTTGAGTTCCTCCTGCGTACCTGCTGTCAGCGCGCCAGGAGTTCTGCCCGTACCCAGTGCCCCCACCCCTGGCAGAGCCCTACACTGCGTGCACTCCCAGGCTTCCCCCTGCTACGGCACAGCCCAGAGAGCACCAGGGAGTCGGCCCTGCCACCCCTCCTGCGACCTCCCCCATGCCAAGTTTGGGGGGCCAGGAAGAGGCTCAAGGGTCAGCCCACAGCCTGTCCCAGAGAGCTCCTGAGCTGGGGTCCTGCACGGTGCTGGGAACTCCCCTGACATCAGCAGGGATGGGGCCCTGTGCCAGGCCCTAGTGGCAGTTCCCCTGTGTAGTGTGCCTCTCTGACTTGCTGTCTGTTTGTCTGTCCATCTGTCTGTCCCCTCCCTCTCTCCCCCCACCCCATTGCCAGGCACAGCTGAGCCACTATGCTGGGAAGCCAAGGCCCTCTCGAACTGGACTCTCCTCCTCCTCTGTGTCATCCTGAGCCTTCTCTTCTTGGTCACCGTGCTGGCCTTCACTGCCGCCCTTCTGAGGATGAGGAGAAAACACGGTAGCTTTGCTGCCTGGGGCTTTGCCAGAGTGAGATTGGGCACTTGCAGGGCCAGGCAGAGCCATGGCCCGCCATGAAGAGGCGTCAGACAGGCCCTTCTGCACGGGGGAGTGACATCATGGGGGCTGCACCAGGCCAAAGCACTGGTCCAGGGTGAGGCCATTGGCAGCACCCAGCCATGGGGTGACATGGAACGGGGCCAGATCCCCTGCTGGTGTCAATCGGCCTTAGCTCCATTGGAGTCCATGGGCCCGATCCCAGTGGAGCTGCTCTGATCTACACCAGGATCTGGCCCTGGTTACCCGCTCAGGGGCTCAGGATTGCTTCGCCGTGGCTGCTGTCCTGTCCCCGAACGTCCAGGCAGCGCACAGGGTGTCACTCATGCTCAGCAGAGCAGTTCCCCAGAACAATGGCAGCCTGCAGCATGAAAGGGGGAGCCAGCCCAGCACCAGAGCATAGGGCTAGACAGGACCTGTGGGGCATGCTGGACTAGTGCGGACCCCCTCCCAGCATGGGGGTGGGGGGAGCCCTGGCCTGGCTGTGCCAGGCCCTGTACGGCTTCACAGAGCAACCCATCTCCTTTCTCGCCCTCTCTGTTTGCAGCCCACACCGTATCCTCTTCCTCATTAGCTGCCCCGGTCCTGGTGAATCATAGCGCACAGGGCACGGAGATGCCTGCAGGGGGTGCCAATGACTACAGGAAAGTGACCCCCAAAGCAGAAGGTAGCAGCTGTTGCTTGGCCTGCCCCCACTGCCCCTTCCCCACACCCCACCTCTCTGACCAACCAACCTGCTCCTCCCCCATAGCCTCCCACACTCTACCCCCTCACACCCAAGCTCTTTGCCTCCACCTCACCTTCCCTTCCCCCATACCCTACCTCTCTGTCCCCACCCCACCTTCCCCTCTCCTTGCAGCCCCTCCCATAAACTCTGCCCCTCCCCCTCCTCTTCTCTGCCTGCCTCCCCTTCCCCTCCCACACTCTCTGCTCCTCCCCCCAACACCCCTCCCTGCCTGCCCCACATCCTGACTCTTCCCCACAACCTGCCTTTCAACCTGTCTCTGCCCCTCCCCTTCACCACACCTCTCCCTGCTCCCTGCCTCTCAGCCCTTCCTGGTAGGGTCCTCAACTTTCTAATTGCACAAAACCCGAACACCCTAGCCCCGCCCCTTCCCCGAGACCCCACCCCCCCTCACTACATTCCCCCTGCCTCTGTGGCTCAATCTCCCCCACCCTCACTCACTTTCACTGGGCTCGGGCAAGGGGTTGAGGTGCAGGAGGGGGTGAGGGCTCTAAATGGGGGTGTGGGCTCTGGGGTGGGGCCAGAAATGAGGGATTCAGGGTGCGGGAAGGGGCTCTGGGCTGGGGCAGAGAGTTGGAGTGTGGAAGGGCTGAGGGCTCAGGGCTGGGGGTGCTGGTTCTGAGGTGGGGCAGGGGATGAGGGGTTTGGGGTGCAGGCTGGAGGTCCAGGCTGGGGGTGGGGCCGAGGGATTCAGACTGTGGGAGGGGACTGCAGGCTGAGGCGGGGGTTGTGGTGCAGGAGGGGGTGAGGGCTCTGGGGTGGGTCTGGGGATGAGGGGTTCAGTGTGTGGGAGAGGGAGGGGGCTCTGCGCGGGGGCAGAGGGTTGGGGTGCAGGGGGGGGTGAAGGCTCTGGGCTGGGGGTGCGGGCTTAGGGGTGCAGAAGGGGGCTCTGAGTTTGGGAGGGGCTCAGGGTTGGGGCACAGGCTTACCTCGGGCGGCTCCTGATCAACGGCACAGTGGGGCTCCAGCAGGCTCGTCCCTACCTGTCCTGGGGCACTGCGCTGAGCCCCGGGAGCAGCCTCTGGGCAGGGCAGGAGGCACTGCCCCACACTTGGCAAGGCATGGTCAAGGCAGGTCCCCAAGTAACCGCTCCCTTCATGCCCCTCTAGCAGAGCCGCTGGCTGTGCCCGCTCCTGGCTCCGAGGACTCCGATTCCGACTATGAACACTATGATTTCAGCAGCAAGCCGCCCGTGGCGCTCTCCACCTTCTACAGTGAGCGACCCCCGACCTGCACCATGCAGGCTCTTCGCAGCCTGGGGCTTCTGCCTCCCCATGGAGCCCTGCCTTCCCTCACACTGCCCTGTGCCAGACTGGGCTGCCCCCACACACACAGCTCTGCCAGTGCCTCCCCATCCTGACCCACAGCCACTGCTGCTCCAGCCCTGGGCTCCCCACCCCACAGCTCCCCCAATGCCCCCCATCCCTACCCACAGCCACTGCTATCCTAGCCCTGGGATCCCCACCCCACAGCTCTGCCAGTGACCCCCATCCCGACCTGCAGCCACTGCTATCCTAGCTCTTGGATCTCCACCCCACAGCTCCTGCCAATGCCCCCCACCCCCTGACCTGCAGCCACTGCTATCCTAGCCCTGGAATCCCCACCCCACAGCTCCCTCAATGCCCCCCCATTCCAACCTACAGCCACTGCTATCCTAGCCCCGGGATCCCCACCCCACGGCTCTGCCAGTGACCCCCATCCCGACCTGAAGCCACTGCTATCCTAGCCCTGGGATCCCCACCCCACAGCTCTGCCAATGCCCCCCACCCCCCGACCTGCAGCCATTGTATGGGGTTGGCTGGGGTCAAGGGGAGCTGGGGGCAGGTCAGGTCAGGCAGTACTGTTAGTGGTGATCTCCCAGCTCACCCCGCTAGGATGCTGGGCCAGGCGAGGTTTGCTGGAACCCTTTGCCTCTGGTTGCAGATTCGCTTCGGCACCGAGCAGCGGACGAGACCCTCCCTGTGAGCGGCTTCCCCCCGGCACCTGGCCAGGAGGTGCTGAATGAGGGCCCGGAGCCCTGGGGCCAGCCAGAGCAAAGACCCTGCGAGGGTAAGAGCTGGTGCTGCTGACTGGATGGGTGATAAGGATGAGAAGCACAGTAAGTGAGCTGTAGCTCACGAAAGCTCATGCTCAAATAAATTGGTTAGTCTCTAAGGTGCCACAAGTCCTCCTTTTCTTTTTGCGAGTACCAGGAAAGGGGCCCCAAAGCCCCAGCTGGGGTGGGCAGGGGCAATGCTAGAGCTGGGTCATCAGCTCCCCTGGTGTTCGCCTCTCTGTCTGGCTTATGCCAGTGCATGGGGTGGAATGGAGTTTTGGCTGATGGGCCATTGCTGGGGCAGAGCAAGGGTGGGCCATTTCCCAGCTCTCCCCACACCCCGGGTACTGGGGCTAGGTGGGCAGGGCAGTGTTGCAAACCGTCCATCTAGCTCCAGGGGCTCTCTGTAGCCCCCTGGGTGGAGCAGGCTCGGGCACTGCCGGCATTGGCCAGTGGGAAGGCTGATGGAGAGGCCACTTCTCTTGCAGAGCTCCCCGCTGAGTCCAGCTCATCCTCTGAGGACAACTACTACAATAACGGCACCACCAGGCAGCAACAGTGGGGCAACCCAGCCCCTCCTCCCACCGGCAGCCTCTTAATGCCAGTGCCTCCTGCTCAGGGCAACAGTGGCTCCCAGCTCTCCTTCCAAGGTTAGCAAGATGGGCCAGCACCTGCTGGCTCTGACGGCCGGTGGGACCACCTCTGAGCGTTGGCCCTTGAGGAGCAACATCCCAGCACATCCTCTCCTGCCCCAGGAGAGGAAAGGGGAAGGGAGGGAAGTCTGGGCTGGGCCTGAGATCCAAGACTGGAAAATCCAACCCCTTCTGTTTGTAGAAGGGAAAATCATCCCAGGAGCAATGATTCTGCCCCAACCTGCCCAGCAGTGCCTCCGTGTGTGCTGGGCCCTGGCCATCCCTCACAATCTCCAGGAGAAAGGCCTCCACAGAGCCTCCAGACTCTTCTCTGTGCATCGGTGGGAAGGGAAAGGTCACCCATGGGCCATTAAGTCTCTGACAATGCCCTGACCTGCGGTGCGGGGAATCTCTTTTCTGGGGACATCAGGGCTGATGACCTGGTCTGGATTGAGACAGCTGATGGGAAACAACCTCTGTCCCCCTCCTGCTGGATTTCCAGCAGGATAGTCACTCCTGCTGGATTCTCTGCTGGATAGTCACTCCCACTACCCTGCCAGGAGCCTGGAAATGCTCCTCACCCTCTGCACCAGAAGGGTGAGCATGTCCGGGGTTGTCTCCAGCAGGGCCTTCCGGAGCCGACAGCTCCAGCACCTCATCCGGAGAATGGTATGAAAACTTCCACAGCACAGCACACCAGGGAGCCCAGCCAGGGAACACATCTGGTGAGGAGAGGAGAGGATGGAGGGAGCATGGGGAGGGAATTGCAGACCTACTGAGTGGGGAGCAGGCAGGGGCCCTGTGTTCCCAACAGCGCTGAGCCTAATTCCGGGGGCTCATGTGAGATAACATGATTCAGATCAGGTTACAGTCCACTCACAAAGACAGAAAAAGAGAATGCAAAAGGGGAATAGGAAAGGGAACGGATAGAGATCAACAGCAGGGAGGGGGTGGAGAAAGAGAGAGAGTGAGTAACCAAGGGAGGGACAGACGGATGACTGTGGAGATGAAGGGAGGTATGAGAGGTGGTTGTGTGGATGGAGGGAGGCAGGGAGGAAAGGTGGCTTTGGGGAGGGAGGGAGGAGAGGTGAGCATGGGGATGAATGGAGGGAGGCAGGGATGAGAGGTGGCTGTGGGGATGGAGGGAGGGAGGCAGGGATGAGAGGTGGCTGTAGGGATGGAGGGAGGCAAGGAGGAGAGGTGGCTGTGGGGACGGAGGGAGGCAAGGAGGAGAGGTGGCTGTGGGGACGGAGGGAGGGAGGCAGGGATGAGAGGTGGCTGTGGGGATGGATGGAGGCAGGGAGGAGAGGTGGCTGTGGGGACGGAGGGAGGGAGGCAGGGAGGAGAGGTGGCTGTGGGGACGGAGGGAGGGAGGCAGGGAGGAGAGGTGGCTGTGGGGACGGAGGGAGGGAGGTAGGGAGGAGAGGTGGTTGTGGGGACGGAGGGAGGGAGGCAGGGAGGAGAGGTGGCTGTGGGGACGGAGGGAGGGAGGCAGGGAGGAGAGGTGGCTGTGGGGACGGAGGGAGGGAGGCAGGGAGGAGAGGTGGCTGTGGGGACGGAGGGAGGGAGGCAGGGAGGAGAGGTGGCTGTGGGGACGGAGGGAGGGAGGCAGGGAGGAGAGGTGGCTGTGGGGACGGAGGGAGGGAGGCAGGGAGGAGAGGTGGCTGTGGGGACGGAGGGAGGGAGGCAGGGAGGAGAGGTGGTTGTGGGGATGGAGGGAGGGAGGCAGGGAGGAGAGGTGGCTGTGGGGACGGAGGGAGGGAGGCAGGGAGGAGAGGTGGCTGTGGGGACGGAGGGAGGGAGGCAGGGAGTTGATGGGATCCGTTGTTTCAGGCTGGCCAGCTGTCTCCCAGCCATTGGGGAGCTGTGAGCCTGGGAGCGACAACTCAGAGGGCAGCGATTACGATGATGTCCAAGGCCTGGCGTACTAGAGCAGGGATGTCACTGCAAGTCTGTGCCTCCAGACCTCCCTCCTGCCTTCAACACAGAGGACAGCAAATCAGTGGGTGATAATTGAACCTCACATCCCTGCACTGAGTGTGTTTGATTAGCACAAGTTCAGCCATGGGGGGAAGGTTTCTGTGCAGGTCCCAGAACCAGCCCTGAATGGACCAGCATTTTCCAGTGCAGCCCCCATGGGTTCGGAAGGAGCTGCACTCCTCTACCCACTGGCAGCTCTGACCCTGAGAAATCCACGGAGACCTTCCCAAGAACATCCTCTTCCCAGCCCACGTTCTCTGCTGACGCCCAGCTAGCCCTGACCACTCAGGCCCATAAGTGAACCCCTGGTGTCTGGGGGGTGTCCGGGACTCCATCCTCAATGCTCAGGACATAGGCCAAGCTCTCCAGGATGGCTGCCAGGGCCGTGGGCTCTATTCCCCGCCGGGAAAGGTGCTTGGACACACGGTGATGGGCGCAGCACAGAGACCTAGCTGGAGCCCTAGGGGTGATAAGCTGGAGGTCGGAAGTCCTAGGGGAGCAGCCAGACTGCTTGGCTCCCTTTGGGACAGTGACTTAGGGGGCTGGGTTCAATCCTCTGTATGTAGATTCCCTGCAGCAATAACCAGTCCCCAGTGATTAGCCCGTAGACAGGAACTGGGGTGCACAGATTCAATGCACAGGGGGTAGCTCCCCCAGGCCTCTGGCTTCATCCCCACTGGGCAGAAGCAGCTAGGAGGGGATGTTCCATACCTGGGTTCCAGCAATGGCTCTCTCTTGTTGGGGGGGCTGCCTATGAAATCCAAGCCCTTGGCTTTGAGGGGAAGGTCAGCCTGTGGTTGAGGCAGTGCCTGACACTCATAGAATCATAGAATATAAGGGTTGGAAGGGACCCCAGAAGGTCATCTAGTCCAACCCCCTGCTCGAAGCAGGACCAAATCCCAGTTAAATCATCCCAGCCAGGGCTTTGTCAAGCCTGACCTTAAAAACCTCTAAGGAAGGAGATTCTACCACCTCACTCAGGAAGGCTGGTTTGTGTCCCCGGCCTTGCTGCTACCTCGCTGTTGGGAGTGCGGCCAAGTCACCTCCCCCATCCCCCAGTTTCCCTGTTGGAGATGGGGATAATGCAAGTCTGCATTAATGGAACGGTGTTGAGATCCTGAGACAGAAGGTGCTGTCAATGGGCAAAATATCCTCTGAAGAACTGTGGGTGATGAATGAGGCCATGGAGGATGGTTCTTCCCTCTCCCCCAAGCGAGGGGCTGCTGGCAGTGCCAGGGGATTCACAGCTGCTGCCCATGCTGTACCCGCCTCCAAAGCTGTCACTGGAGAGAAGAGACTGGCTCCAACCTTCTATGGAGGGCTAAGGCTTTTAGGGATTTTTTTTCCTTGGAAAGTGTAGATGAAAATAGAAAAAAAAATATTTCATCGACATTTTTCCCTGAGATCTTCCTGGGTTTTCATTGAACAGAATCTTTATCTTTCCCCCACGAAACCCCAAAACCTTTCAACAGAACCGGCCTCTGCTGGGGGAAAGCCCTTTTTGCACCAAAAGAACTGTGTTGACAGGAGACTTCTGAGCAGCTGTAAGAGTGAGAATGAGACGCTCTGGGCTGCTTTCACTGGGGAACCCCGAGCACCCGGAACTGTAAAGTTTCCCTGCAGTCACTCACTGATCCTCCCCACAGCCCTGCCAGGTGGCTGAGGATTCCGATCTCCATTCTACATGGAGGGGAAAGTGAGGCACGGCTCGATGAAATGACTTGATCAAGGCCACCTACCGAGTCAGTTGCAGCTCCTAGCCCTATGCTTGTTCATCCACCCCCCAGGACACTCCTCTGTGGTTTGCTCCGGGGGCATTTTATTTAGCTAACAATTCCCTGCAACATGGACCTGGGACCCTGAATTGAAACCTTCCCCTCCAGTCTTGGAGCAGGGGTGGGGGTGGGGGAAGAGGAGAGCTGCATGGAAGGATGGCAATAATGAATGTATCTTCCAGGATCTGGGAGCACAAGCACTGTGTAAATAGTGGAGCAGCATGTGGCTGCCGCATACGGCTGCTCCCTCACTCTCCCATGTGGCAGCACCATTGCAAGGCGTGTTGTGAGATTAAAAGGCTTTAACTAGAGGGGCTGGAAGGAGAATCTCTTTATTTAAACTTTTAAGAATGGTGGCTTTGGGGCAGAGTAAAATTCCAGGCCAGATCCAAGCTGGTGTAAACCGGTGTCTCCCCATTGGAATCAATGGGGCCAGATCCCCACATGGATAGTGCTAGTTGCCACCAGCAGAGGATCTGGCCTTTAGTGTGTTTGTGAGAGAGAGAAGCCTAATTTGTAGCCAGGCTGCCTGTGAGCCTGTGATATCCCAGGAGCCTCACCGAGCACCAGGCCCTGGAGCTCCTCCCAGATTCGCTCTGGGTCAAACCCCGGGCCTGTGTCACCTTTGCGTTGGGCTGTCAGATCATTACACTAGGGATCGGGGTCGCAAAATGTAACCCTCATTCCTGAGCTGCGCAGTGGCTCAGGAGGGCTGGGCCCGGGTAAGCTCTGCCTCAGGGAAGATGCTCTTGTTTGCCATCCAATTACTCCAGGCTAACCCACTTCCCATTGGGAACAGGGCTTGATCCGTAAAAATAGCTTTTAGGCAGTAACAGAAAGGAAGGACTGTTACCCTGAAAGAGACCCTGAAAGAGGCTCCTCAGCTCACCCAAGCACCAATTCCTTTAACACCCCCTGCCTGACAGCGAATCCAGCAGTGACTGATACCAACAAGAATTCTGAAGTGCATCCGTTAATACTGAGCTTAGAATAAACACCAGAGCCCACAGCTTCTCTCTGCTAATGGAGGCCAGGGCAGTCCCACTAGTGTCGCCAACTCTCAGGACTTCAGCCTCAGTCTCACAATATGTGGGGTTTTCCTTCAAGCACCTGATCTCATGTGATTTTGGGGAGTGTCTCAGCTTTTCTTTACAAATAAAAGTAAGTCTCTGGCCCTCATGGGTGTAGGGAAAACCTTAGAGGAATCCCAAAGGCTCAGAAAGCAGAAGGCCAAGAAAAAGAAGCCAACATTTCATAGATTTTCTTTTCAGATCTCATGATTTTTAAGCCAATGCTGTGATTATTTTTGGAGCCTGCCTTATGATGTGCTGAACTCTTGGGGTTGGCCATGCTATCTCTGCCAGAGGGAGATCTCAGCCTATCAAAGTTAAGGATTAAATAGTCCTGCTCATCATTATACACGTTGTAGAGATATCCACTGGGGAACGGCTGCCAGCTCTTGCCAGCTAAACGGGGCGCAGGCTGTGTTAATAGCACCATGGGAGGCTGGTGATGCAATAGGGGGGTTCTTCACTTGCGGTTAGCTCCAGACAAGGCCGAGCTGCAATTACCTGAGCTGGCATTTGTCCACCTCTGAGTAAGAGCCTTGTTAATTTCTCCCCAGTGGTTTGAGCTACAGCAGTTGAACTCCTCCTGAGTGCCCAAATGCTCAAGTCCTTTCCTAAGTTCTCTGATTTGATCTACTGCTTTAGCATCCTCAGGGAAGAATGATCCCTTCACAGGCAATATCCAGACTACCGGATGTGCAGCTTTGGAGATCTGCTAGAACTGGGAAAGTTTGCAAGCAAGATACAAACCCAGTTTGCAGAGCTCACTCCTGTCTTCCTTCCTCTCAGTGTTGAGTCTCTGCAAAATAAATGGTTTCAGAGTAGCAGCCGTGTTAGTCTGTATTCGCAAAAAGAAAAGGAGGACTTGTGGCACCTTAGAGACTAACAAATGAATGCATCCGATGAAGTGAGCTGTAGCTCACAAAAGCTTATGCTCAGATAAATTTGTTAGTCTCTAAGGTGCCACAAGTCCTCCTTTTCTTTTTGCAAAATAAATGTAAGAAGACACATCACCATTGTTTACATGTTAGTTTGAATGTTCGGAGGAAAGCTCAGATGTGGATTGTCTTCTCCCAAAGTCCATTGTCAGTTGTCATTGTCAGTTAAGTGTTTCTTGATTGGGCACTTACTGAGAATAGTCCTTTCTCAAGAAGCTAACCAAATGCTTCTCTGAGGCTACTTAGAATCAAACAAATACATAGCCAATATTCATAACTTCAAATTCAAAAATGATACAGACAGCATAATCATAACGAGCAAACTACAACTTTTCCATAGACACCCCACTTGGCCTCCTCTCTACTGAACCGGTGCAACCACAGGACCCTGGTTGCAACAATGATCTATACGGTCACAGTTTATGTCAATAATGTCACGCTGCCACATGAGGTGTAGATCTCGACAATACATCATCACTTCTCAACAGAACTACATGTCAAGTCACCTATCAGAAAAAGCCCAGGCTCCAGGGGAGTGCGCACGTGGGGCCAGACTGACAGGGCCATCCCTACCCATACGCAAATTATGCAGCTGCATAGGGCACCAGGAAATTTGGCACCAAATTTCTTGGTGCCCTGCGCAGCTGCGTGCTCCTCCAGCCCCAGCCCTGCCTCTTCCCACCCCTGCTCCACCCCAGCCCTGCTCCCACTCCACCCCTTCCCCAAAGCCCCCATCCTGCTCCGCCCCCACCCCACCCCTTCCCGCCCCTGCTCCGACCCCACTCCCCTGAGGACTGCAGCAGGGCCGAGCCTTCACTCACCGGCGGCGCGGCCGGGGCCGGGTCGCTGCACTTCCCACCACCAGTGAGTGCTGGGGGGGGGTGGTGCCCCCCTACCCCCCCAAGCCAGCCCCGCCCCTCCGCAGACGCCTGTCCCCCCCCATGGGGGGGCTTTGTAGGGCCCCAGAATAGCTTGGGACGGCCCTACAGACTGATATCGTACAGTACGTATCTCGCTTGTAGGACTTACGCTGAATGTCAGCCGAAGGGGCTATCCACCAGTTGAGTATGTTCAGCTGATGTGTGGGCAGGATCTTGACTCTCTCCTGTTCAGAATGAACTACAGCAATGTGTGTGCAACAATGAGCCACACAACTAGAATTGGGGTGGGGTTTTTTATCGTTTTTTTCTGCCAAAACATGTCTTTTTCAGGGTCCAAAACTATTCTTCAAATTCAATGGAGAGTTTCGACTGCGCGGAAATTTTGTTTTGAATGAGTTGAAATGTTTTGTTTCACTCTTTTTGTGTTGAAACAGCATTTCCTGTGTAAAGTTAGCCCGTTTAAAAAAATAAAATGCAAAAAGGCTGACAAACATCTTGTGACATGTTTCAGAGTAACAGCCGTGTTAGTCTGTATTCACAAAAAGAAAAGGAGTACTTGTGGCACTTTAGAGACTAACCAATTTATTTGAGCATAAGCCTTCGTGAGCTACATCTCACCTCATCGGATGCATACTGTGGAAAGTGTAGAAGATCTTATTATATATACACAAAGCATGAAAAAATACCTCCTCCCACCCCACTCTCCTGCTGGTAATAGCTTATCTAAAGTGACCATTCTCCTTACAATGTGTATGATAGTCAAGGTGGGCCATTTCCAGCACAAATCCAGGTTTTCTCACACACACACCCCCCCCCACACACACAAACTCACTCTCCTGCTGGTAATAGCTTATCCAAAGTGACCACTCTCCTTACATTCGCAAAAAGAAAAGGAGTACTTGTGGCACCTTAGAGACTAACCAATTTATTTGAGCATGAGCTTTCGTGAGCTACAGCTCACTTCATCAGATGTATACCGTGGAAACTGCAGCAGACTTTATATACACACAGAGAATATGAAACAATACCTTGTGTATTACATTGTGTATAAGGAGAGTGGTCACTTTGGATAAGCTATTACCAGCAGGAGAGTGAGTTTGTGTGGGGCGGGGGTGGGAGGGGTGAGAAAACCTGGATTTGTGCTGGAAATGGCCCAACTTGATTATCATACACATTGTAAGGAGAGTGATCATTTTAGATAAGCTATTGCCAGCAGGAGAGTGGGGTGGGAGGAGGTATTTTTTCATGCTTTGAGTGTATATAATAAGATCTACACTTTCCACAGTATGCATCCGATGAAGTGAGCTGTAGCTCACGAAAGCTTATGCTCAGATAAATTGGTTAGTCTCTAAGGTGCCACAAACATCTTGTGATATGGGTAGTGGGGCCTAGGGGTTGCTCCACCCCCATGACAGGGAGTGGCCCTTTAAGATTTTGGGAGGTCTAAGATGGACAAGCACCTAGGAGATAGTGATAGAGAGAAAGTAATGTTTGGAAGGCAGGGTTGCTGCCTCTGAGGCACAGAAAAACTGGCCACTGGCTCTGTCCCACTTCCCCAGCCTGACGTCTCTGCCCCCCAGCAGTCTGACCCTTCTGGCCCATGAACCCCTCCACCCATCCCCGCCCAAGAGCCTCAGTCCTTGAGGAAGCCCCCCTACCATCCCTTCTGAGGAGTCCCTGTGTTCTATAACCCTCTCCGCCAGCAGGGAGAGCCTCGCCCTCTGGGTCCCATTTCCCAGCCGGTCCCCAATGCCGAGAGACCTGGCATGCTGCGCACACACAGAGTGAGACCCAGGTGCTGGCTGGGCCGTGGCGTGCCCCCAGCTGTGACATGCGCAGCCAAAAGTTAAGACCACTGAGCATACGCCAACATGAGCGCAGCAAGAAAACCAGCGCATTAGATCTTTTGACCAGTGTGACATACCAGGATACAACCCAGACTAATAAGTAGTGGTGTCACCCTTGCCCTCTAGCCTGGGGTGCCCTTTACAATGCTTTGCCGCAGTAGCCCCCATCTTGGACTGCTCACAAACAGCCTCCCTCATGCAAGTCACTTCCAGCTATGGCTGTGTGTGTGCTACAGCCAGCCAGTCACACCTTGGCTCTTACCAGCCTGGGTTATACTGCAGGGCGACCCCCAACTCATTCCCAGTCTTAGATTCCCCCCCAGTTATATGTCCTGTACTTCTCAACCCTCTGCTGGACAATACAAGTTTAGATAAGGTTCATTATTGCTTTAATAGAAATAATATGCACACATCTTCTTACACCAAATGGAGTTTCCCAAACACTTCAATTTAAACACACTGGATTAGATAAAACAATAAAACAAGTTTGTTAACTACAAAGAGAGATTTTAAGTGAATACAAGTAATGAGGCATAAAAGTCAGAAATATAAAAATGAAAAA